GGAGCCGCGCAAGAGTGCACTCAAGCAGCCTGCGCCACAGCGCCGGGAACCAGCCGAGGCTCAAAGCAGCCCGCGGGAATCCCACGGCCCGGCCTCGCCTCCAGCCTCTCCTCCTCCAAGGCACCATAAGGCTCGCAAGTCTCACCGCGCTGCCCATGCAGCTCCGCGCCCGCACTCGCCTGCCGAAGCGCCAGACGCGGCATCGGACGAGCAGCGCAGTACAGTTCTCAAGGCGCACGAGAATAGAATTGCCCAGCTCAAAGAGGAGCATAGGCAGGACCAGCTCCGTATCGACAGGATACACAGAGAGCGCCTCAAACTTCAGCTAAGAGAAGGCGAAAGCCTCTCGCATTGCGGCCAGCGCCTCTCGCCCAGGCGGCCGCGCAAGCCTCATGAAGGAGGCGATGCCGCCAGGCGTTAAACTTACGCCATGCAGCTGCAATTCAGCCCAGGCCTACCTCTTCCCCCCTCTCCCTCTCTTGCTTCATTTCCTTCGCTTCTCCCCCCCCCACAGGCCATGATGCGCGAGCTCAGCACCCTGGGCAACGCCGACGCAGACGAGGACATGCCCGCTGCTGAAGCGGCTCCGGGGAGGCACCTAGATTTGCTTCGCATTATGGAGCGGCTGCCACCAGACTTTCGTAGCGCCTGGCCCTTTTGGGAGTACTTGGCTGAGCGGCTTCTCCTGGCCCACCAGCAAGTCCACCGCTTTCTCAGCGGCGGCTCGAGGCGCCACGCTCTCTTACTGTCTCCTACCACTGTGTACCAGCCTGCCTCGGTACCCCAATGGCAAGCTACATGGCAGCTCGAGAGCGGGCCGCCTGCTTTGCCACGCGCCCGCGCTACCGTAGGCCCCGAGCTCCACATGGACTTGCCCGATGTCGTTAATCGCACAATCGAGCGGTGGTATGGGCGTTGGTGCGAGGCCAACTCTCCCAACTTACTCCACATTTATCCTCATCGCGCAGCGGGTGAAGGCCCCTATGCTGCCCGTTTCTCACCCGCTATAGGTTTGGTCACTGTCTACGTGCCCGACCAGATTTTTCTGGACCTCCTCCACACGGGGGCCTGGGAACAGCCTGCTCTCATCCCTCAACGTCTTTTGGAGGATGCAGCGGCTGGCAGCCCCGTCCTAATAGACTTCCAGGCCATGATCCTGGTGCGGCCATTTTGCCTTCCGTTGTCCTACCTCTCTCGAATCCTCCGCCTCCCTGAACCCTAGCCCCTCAGGCCATGCCGACCCCAGATGCGCAGCACCTGCCGCAGTTCGAGCACGGCGACGTCCGCTGCGCCCCCACTGAGGCCGTGCCACCACCGCCTACAGTCGTACAGTGGCTGGTAGTGATTACGGCAGGCCATATTCCGCTCTGGTCTCCACTGCCCATCAATGTAGGGCTCCTAATGGAGCAATTTCACGGGCAGGAGACCCGGCTGCCATCCTCTGTGGAGAGGCCGCGCTTTTTTCACCTCCCCATTCTTCAGGAGATCGATGCACGGCCCATTTTATTCGGCACGGGCATACCTTTTCGCACCGGCCTTTCGCTGCGGGTCAACATGCGCAGCGGAACCATCCTCATCCCTATCGACTCCGCACCAGGCCAAGCATGCATCAGTCGGCCCATTAGGAGGGTCCTCCTCACCCAGGCGCACGCATAAGCCAGCTAGGTTTCACTCATATCTGGCCGTTGGCTTATGGGCTATTTCTTTTCGCTCCCTCCGCACTCCCCCTTCTTTCAGCGCGCGCAACGCAGCCATGGCGGCCAGGCTTCCTGCGGGCGGGCGCGCTACGGCGGCGACGGAGGGGACCACGCCCCCGCAGGGGGCCGCGGCCGAGCCCGGCAGGGCGCCGCCCAACGCGCTGGAGCTCTTCGGCCTATCAAGCGATACGCAGTCTGGCTCGGCATGGCAGGGCCCCCAGTACACGGCCGCCGCCAGAGAATTCAAAAAATGGTGGCCAGCCACGTACCCTGGCGAGTGGAAGATGCCAAACGGCATGCTCTACCCGTTCGTGTGGAAGCTCAAGTCGCTCGACGTCATCGATGGCCAGGTCGTCGAGACTTGGGATTGGGAGTGGATAGAGGCTCCAGGCTTGGCGACCATCTCAGAGGTCGAGACCATGCTGCTGGACCGCTTCAACCAGCAGCAGGCCGCCGCGCAGGAGGCCCAGGCGCGAGCGGCGGCGTCTGCGGCCGCCCGCGCGGCAGCCGAGAGGGCCCCTGCGCCTACGCCGTTCAACGCGTCGCCCTTCGGTGCCTGAGCGGGCCTTAGAGCGTGCTGCCTCCCAGTCGGCGCCATCCCAGGTCGACACGGGCGACCTCGGCGCAACTAATAGTGCGCCCTCATAGGTGGTGGGCTAGCCTAATACTCTAGTCTCTGTTCACCTCGGCAGCCCACCACCTAGACAGCCCTAGCCAGCCACACGAGCCGAATATTTACAGCTGGAGAGCCGTGCTGCTCCAATTTAAGGTCGGCTGAGCCGTCCTGCAATCTCGTCGCAGCGGGCCCTTCAGTTCTTTCATCATTCAGCGCCATTCCAAGGGCCCGCTGCAAGAGTCGTAGCCAGCACCAGTCTCTAGCTTCACACCTCTCTGCCGCACTAGTGCAGCCAACGCGACACTTTTAAGCAGCCCCGCTACCAGAAGAGCGGTCGGCTAATGCTCACAGCTCAATTCGCAGACTCGACACGGCCGAGTCTTCATAGGTGGTGGGCTAGCCTAATACCCTAGTCTCTGTTTCCCTCGGCAGCCCACCACCTAGATAGCCCTAGCCAGCCACACGAGCCGAATATCTCCAGCTGAGGAGCCGTGCCGCTCCAATTTAAGGTCGGCCGAGCCGTCCTGCAGTCTCGTCGCAGCGGGCCCTTCAGTTCTTTATCTTTCAGCCCCATCCCAAGGGCCAGCTGCAAGAGCTGCAGCCAGCACCAGTCTCTAGCTTCACACCTTTCTGCCGCAACATTGCGGCCAACGCGACACTTTTAAGCAGCCACGCTACCAGAAGAGCGGTCGGCTCAATGCTCACAGCGCAATTCGCAGACCCGCCACGGCTAAGTCGAGGCTGCGGCAAGCAAAGATGCTGCCTCAGCACATCCCTCTTGCCGAGTAACTCTCGGCTAATGCTGCCCATCAGAGGTGCGCACCTCTACGGACAGCTACCACGCCCTAGTGCTGCTTGGCTGGGCAAGATACTCCCTCTCCTTCCCCAGAGTTCCTCCCTCCCCTCTTACCACGTTAACACTAAGATGCCAAGTACAGCACAGGCGCTCTCTCACCTGCCCCCCTTACCGGTCACGTGCGTTTCCGATGGGGCCTCCTAGTCTCTTGGCGGCAATGCCAGCCTCTCCCTCCTGGTCCGCTCCGTCACGGCCGCCCTACAGCGCGGCACTGCCATTTTGGCCCTCTTCCTACTCATCCCGCTCATATCCATGGCTAAGCCATGCTCCCAGGTGGCCGTTCCTGAGGCCAGCTTTGCTGCTCTTCGGTCTTTCAGCGCTGCCCGCATAGGGCAACGCCTAGATGGCGCGCTCAGTGACTCTCGCACGGTACCGATCTCTTCTCTTCATATTATTCCCCCTCCCTCCCCTTCGGTGCCAATACCTCCCCCGCCCATCATGCAGGTCCAATGGCGAAGAATCGCTTTTGCTTGCGGACGGACCAGGAGCGGAGATCCTTTGTTGCGCCCGCTAGGCGGGCTCTGTCTGCCGCCTGGCCGACCTGCGGCCGCCCCGCTCAAGCTACTTGCAACGAGCTAAGTGCAGTCAAAAAAGCCTCCTCCTCCCTCCTCCTCCCTCCTCCTCCTCCTCCTCCTCCTCCTCCTCCTCCTCTCCTCCTCCTCCTCCTCCTCCTCCTCCTCCTCCTTCCTCCTCCTCTCCTCCCTCCTCCTCCTCCTCCTCCCTCATCCTCCCTCCTCCTCCTCCTCCCTCCTCCTTCTCCCTCCTTCTCCCTCCTCCTCCTCCTCCTCCTCCTCCTCCTCCTCCTCCTCCTCCTTCTCCCAGTGCGGACGAGTGAAAGGCCTGGATGGGCGCCGAGAGGCCAGGAGTTGAAGGAGGAGGAGCAGCAACCGCGGCAGCGGCAGCAGCGGCAGGGAGGAGAGACAAGCGTCGCAAATGGGGGGGAGCGGGAGGCAGCAGGGCGATGCATCCTACAGGCGGCTTCTGGACGAACAATAAACGATAGCCCAGAAATGCGCAAAAATTGGCAAAAATGGTGAAACACTCGTCCCCAAACAATTTTTCACTATTTTGGGATACTCCTTCTGTAGCGGGACATGCCCGATTTAAGACTGCTACGAGAAGACAGAACGGGTGGCAAAAGCTCCACCCCCGCAGGAGGGACTCGCACAGGGGCAGGGCTGTGCAGTAAACGCCCAAGGCCATTTTTGCTGTTCTGTTACGCCAGCTGCCGGGCCCGGGTGGTTTTTTGTCCCCCCCTGGACAGAAGGGGGACGGGGAGTGGGTGGGTTGGTCGAAGGGACACGGCGAGCTCCTGCCTGCGAGAGATTCGTGGGCCAGGCGCGGCGGTGAGTCGGAGGATGCCAGCTGCTGCGCGGCGCCTCCGTGCCGCTCGAGGGCGCACATGCAGGATGTGTGTGTGTGTGTGTGTTAATGAGGGGCCGTAGTGTACTTACGAGCCCACACCACACGTTTGCTAGAATGCGCGCCTGCTCCTGGGTGTCCTCAGCGTCTGTCGCGCAGGCCCCTGGGAGGCCACACCCGCCCAGACCGACCCAAGGCTCCCCCCCGAGAGCCATCCGAGGAGCAACGCTCAAAACGCAGCAGGAACTCTCGATAGCCCCACAGGGCCGTCCTGGGGCTCTCCTGGGTCGACTCGGAGGTCCCAGAGGCGTGCCCCAAATCAAACATCAATGTAGTGTTAGGTCGGGCATGTCCCCCACGCATGCGGATTTAAGACGAAAAATTAAACACATACTCGAAAGTATACAAGAAATGTCAACCCATACTAGAAAAATCGTCCCCAGACTATGTTTTTTTTTTTTTTTACTATCTTGAATACTCCTCCTGTAGAGGGACACACCCGCCTTAAATGTAGCGCCTAATGCTTACGAGGCACGTTCGCGCAACGGCTTGGCTTCGTCTGCAGGGCGTCCACGGCAGCCCCGAACCCTGGCCCGGCAGGGCCTCGGAGGCCGAAGCGAAGACCAGGAGGCTGCCGAGAAACACCCAACAGGGGCCCAGCAGGGGAACTCGAGTCCCAAACAATTCGGAGCCCTCCGCACCGCGTCGAACGCGTTGGGTCCCCGTCGAACGCGCGTCGAATCCGCGCCGCATCCACGTCGAACCCACGTCGAGCCCACGTCGGACATGAGAAAAGACCGCAGGTGACACGAGAAGCAGAATCTCCCGCTGATGCAACGCCACAGCGCGAAGCCTCACAGTCTCGCCTGAGGCACCACTGCGGCATCGCCGGCAGTCAGGCCGTGGTGCCGCAACAGCGCGTCTGCCCTCGGCGCGCGCCCCCGGAAGTCCTCGAAGACGTCCGCCGCCGGCCGGCTGCCGCCTGCGGCCAGGACCGTGCCGCGGTAGCGCCGGCCCAGCCGCCGCATCGCCGCCTCGTCCTCCAGGCCGCCCTCCTCGAAGGCGGCGAAGCCGTCGGCGGAGAGCACCTCCGCCCACTTGTAGGAGTAGTAGCCGGCCGCGTAGCCGCCCGCAAAGATGTGGGCGAAGCCGCACAGGAACCGGTCCTCCGGCAGGGAGGGCGCCACGGAGGTCTTCGCGTCGATCTCCCGCTCCACGTCCCAGATCGTCTTCCCGCCGGCCGCCCCGGGCACGAAGGCCGCGTCGTGCAGCGCCAGGTCGGTCAGCGCGAACTTCAGCTGCCGCGTCATCATCCAGGCCGCGCGGTATGTCTTCGCGGCTCGGATCTTCCCGATGAGGTCGTCGGGCATGCTTTCACCGGTCTTCCAGTGCTTAGCCATGGACTTCAGGGTGGGCACGTCATACGCCCAATACTCCATGAACAGCGACGGCTGCTCCACGGCATCCCACTCGACGCCGCTGATGCCCGAGACGTGCCCCTCGTCGACCTGCGTGAGCATGTGTTGGAGCGCGTGCCCGCACTCGTGGAACACGGTCTCCACCTCCCTGAAGAGCATGAGGCTTGGAGTGACAGTGCCATCAGGGTTCGTCACGGGCGCCGATTGGTTGCAGACCATGTGCGCCACTGGGAGCTGCACCTCCTGGCCCGGCTCTGCAAGCGCCCTCGACCGCTGCTTTTCGCCCCGCATCCATGCGCCACCCTTCTTCTCCCCGGGCCGGGTGTAGGCGTCGAGGTAGAAGTAGGCGCAGGCCTTTCCCTCCCGGCGCACCTCGAAGGTGCGCACCTCGCCGTCCCAGACCTGCGCTCCCAGCTCCTTCGGGCTCCGCTCGGAGATCTCGACGTCGAAAAGGCGAGAGATCACGCCGAACAGGCCTTGCAGCACGTTGTCAAGGGACAGGTACTGCCGCACAGTCTCCTCGTCGTAGGAGAACTTCTCCTGCTTGAGGCGCTCCGCGTAGAAGGCAGTGTCCCACAGCTCCAGCCGCTTGCCAGCGTATTTCTCGAGCTCCTCGTGCTCGGCCTTGGCCGCGTCCATGCTCGCCGAGCGCAGATCCTCCATGAGGTTGTGCGCGCTCTCGAGGGTCGCCATCTTTTTGGCGAGGCTCAGCTCGGCAAAAGAGGAGTAGCCCAAAAGGGCAGCCTTCTCCGCTCGGAGCTTCAGGATCTTGCTAATGACAGGCGCGTTGTCACCCCCGAGCCCGTGCTCGGATGCGCGCGTGATGTGGGCGCGGTACACCTTCTCGCGCAGAGCTGCGCTGGTCGCGTACTTCATGACGCCATGTAGCAGGGGATGTCCAAGGTGACAATCCAAGGTCCGTCCTCTGCCGTTGCGCCAGAGTCACCATTCTTCCGTGCGCTCGCGGCCATCATCGCCAGGGCGGAGGCCGGCAAACCATCGACTTCCTCCTTCTGGTCAAGGCGGTGCTTGAATGACTTGGTCGCGTCCAGGACATTGTTATTAAAAGTTGTCGACAGATGGGCGAGTCGCTTCTGGATCTCATTGAAACGTTCCTTCTGCTTGCCTTGCAACCCGATCCCAGCCAGCTTCGCGCCTAGCAGCTCAAGCTCGGCGACACGCCGCTGCTGATTAAGCAGCGGCACCCATGCATCTGGGTCATCGCGGAGCGCACACCAGCCGCGGTAGAACGCCTCGCTCTGCGAGATGCGCGTACCGAAAGCCACGACAAGGGGCTGCATCTCCTGGTGCACCTCGCGCAGCTGGTCGCTGTCCTTGACGGACTTGAGGTGTCCAACCATCTGCCATGGCTCGCTGACGATCGCGTCGATGCGCTCCAGGGCGTCGGCCAACTCGTTGTACGCCGGCGTCAGACCTTGCTGCAGCTTATGTTCAATGTTGGCCTCGTGGTTGGCCAGCTCCTTCTCAGCATGCTGGATGCTCCACTTGATCGCTGGGGCTATATGTTCCACACGGACATCAGCGAAGCGTGGGAACAGCGGTGGCCGCTCGAGCAACGGGTTGCCGCCACGGTCGGCACACGCAACCGCCTTCGAAAAATCGCGGGACGCCGCAGCGGCAAAGGACACCGCGGCAGCTGCCCCGGCGAAGCGGGCAGGCATGTCTGACTGCACATGGCCAGGGGCTCGGCAGCAGCGCTCTCCCCGTACGAAGGCTGCGGCCGCGCGAACCTCACGGCGGAGCGCGCGCCACATATTCCGTGGCTGGGTGGAGGAAGCCGAGCTGCAGATCCACGGAAGATGGCTTGATCCGACTTGAGCCAGAGGGCTTAAGCCAAAAAGGCTACGGCGCTTCGACGCACACAGGCTCGACCCTCGTCGGGCCCATCCCCAAGACGTATGAAGGCTTCCGCGGGTCACTATCGTCGGACCCCGCGCACAGACGAGGGCGCGAGCGCGCTACTCCCTCAGGCGGGGAGCTGCACGCGAGAATACCCTCGCAGCCGACCACCTGTTTTCAAGCGCTCTGACGTGTACAGGTGGAGGCCAGTCCGCAAGAAACCTTCCGGAAGAAACCCAACCCTGAGACCCCAGGACGTCCATGGATTTTTGGCGTGGGCACGTCACGCTTTCCATGGCAAAACCATCGAGACCCAAGAAACCCATGGCACCCTGGAGGCAGGCAGGGTGTTTCTTGGCATGGGCCCCCACTGTACTCCAAATCCCTTATTAATCGTCCCCCGGGTCCGGTTTTTAAGGCGCCTTTTGTGCAACTAGGGGGGTCCAATTTAACAGGGCGCTTTCTTTGGGTTGGAGCTTAGGGGGTCCTCTTTCTTAAGGCGCCCCGTCGAAGAGGGGGGTCCGGAATGTAGGTCGCATTTGGAGGGAGGTCCAGTTTTTAGGGGGGGTAGATTAATCTAGGGCTCTCAATTTTGCGCTTCGCGCTCCGCGAAGCGCGAATAACTTCTCGCTCTCGCGCCGCCCCCCCCCAGGGAGAAAAGGAGGACGAGGAGGGGGAGAAGGAACGAGGACCGCGAAGCGCGAATGACTTCGTGCCCTCGTGGGAGCCCTTGATTGATAAGGGATTTGTTGGAGTACGCCTTATTCCCTGCAGGGCAAAGAGGGGGGTTCTGCACCGCTCCAGGGCCCCGAGGGGGAGCCTGCCCGGGTCCGCGGCTGGAGTGCGGGGGTGAGGAGGAGGAGGAGGAGGAGGAGGAGGAGGCGGAGGAGGCGGAGGAGGCGGAGGGGGGAGGAGGAGGGAGGAGGAGGAGGAGGAGGAGGAGGAGGAGGAGGCGGAGGAAGAGGAGGAGGAGGAGGAGAAGGAGGAGGAGGAGGAGGAGGAGGAGGGAGGAGGGTCGGGGACACCAGGCCCGATTCTGAGAGGGAGCACTCTGGGACACCCACACGAGAGGATCAAACAACTGCCATAACCAGAGACTTCCGAAGCTCCGCGCGGACTTCTTGGATCGCGTTCGGGCCCCCTGGCGGCGCCTCCGGCGCCGCCCCCTCGCACGTTCCGCGCGGAACTCCGAAAGCTTATGTGTATGCTGTTTTTGTCCCTCGACCCATGGGGCCCCACGGCGCTGTGCGGAGCCCCATGGGGCCTCACGCTCCGCATATGGGCCAACCCAAACTGGCCATCGCTCGGACGCCCATTCTCTGTGCTTTTTTTCCTGTTTCGTGCGTGGTTTTTTCGCCAAATGATCGAGGATGCTCCTCGATGGTCCTCGCCGAAGGAAAAATGCACACGTCCGAGCGAAGCCAAGCAAAACAGACTGAAGGGCCCCTCCAGACGGTCCGAGGGCGGAGCCAACATCGCTCTCGAAAGCCTTCGAGATGGCCGCCGGGGCCTGTCTTGTGGCCATTCCGGGACTGTTCTGCCGAACCTGGATGCCGCGAGAACGAAGACAGCTAACAACAGTGGCGTCCGCGACACGTCTTGAAACCACCCTCTACATCGGGCTGAGGGGTGTGAGGAATTCACTCTCGATAGCTTCGTCGAACACTTTCGCCACCCTTTAACCCAACAGCAAGCTCCGAGCGTGCCGACGGACCGGCCGAACGCGGTACCTCCAGGACCTCCCTTCGGGCTCAGGATGGCTCTAAGATGGCGTCAGACACGAAGGCCAAATTTAAACCGCTCTCGGAATTGAACTTGGATCCATCGTGGGACAGCCATAGAAGCCCCAGAATGGCTCCGAGAAAGTCGAGCTTGCCCCAGATGTATCCGAGAGGCCCCTGCAAACCCCCCGAATTACTCCGAAGACGTCCTCGAGCACAGCTCGGGTCGGTCTCGCAAATCAGTTTGTCGCCAACTGCTGCATCCACTGTCCATTCGGAGCGGCCAGAGAAGGTGAATGTTGCTCATGACACGCCCAAGCGCACGCAGCATTGCCCGAATGTGCCCCCGAAAACTTCCATATGACCCCAGATGTCCACAAAATGTCAAAGTGCTGCGGCGCAGTCGAGCTCGTCAGACACGCTCTAGGCTCTCCCTGCGTTCCCTCTCAAGGACAACGTCCTGCACCGCCTTGGGGCCTGCCTTGGGCCCGTGCTCGGCGTCTTGCGTGCAGGTATCGTCCCGCACGCGTGCCTCTTCGCCCTGTCTCATTGGGTCAGTCTTGGGGCCCGCCCTTTTGGCGAAGGGCCCCAAGTCAGCAAGCCTGCGAGCTGTTCCACTTGCTTCGGATTTCGAGATAACAAACCACGTGGCAAGTTCCAGAAACCCAGACCCCCCAAAAAGTACCCAAGCAGAGCACCATACGAGCAACAAATGCGAAGAGGCGGGACAAAAATGAGAACAACCGGGACAAAGTGAGAGCACGGCCATGCGCACCTCCGTGTATTTTTTGTCGGGGCTGTTTCCGTCCGTACCAAGAATGTGGCCAACATTGAAGCGAAAACGCCGCTGATCAAGTGCGAGGGGTTCTCAAGCGGAACGGCTGCCATACCAAAAGTTCTCGGGCTCCCCCGTCACCCTTGTGGGACTCTTCAGTTGTCAAGAAGCGATACGCAGTTGGGTAACAGTGGGACGCATGAGGATATACTCGTACTTTGCGCCCTCCTCGGAAGCACACGTCCCAACCGAGCATCTAGCACAACCGTTTTGTAGAGCATATCATGTTCCAGGCGGTACGGCCAAAAAACGCTCACCGCTGAGCTTACACTATAAGATGTCCCGTCGCGCGCGTCGCCACTTTTGGGGGCAATGCGCACAAAGTGTTGTCAGCGAGTGATTAACAAATCCGCGGGGGGCGCGTGTTAAAACAATTAGCCTGGCGAAGGACCCACTCATATGCAGCTGTGAGCGCCGCAATTATGAATATCTTCTTCGGTGGAGCTCCCTATGGGGCCACGAAGCGCTGTACTGGGTGGGTGAAACGCAGGGAGCAAGGGCTGTGCTGGGTGGTGGCTGACGCATGCGGGCGGCGCCACTGAGACCTTCGGTGGGGCTCCCTATGGGGCCACGGAGCGCTGCATTGGGTGGGTGAAACGCAGGGAGCAAGGGCTGTGCTGGGTGGTGGCGGACGCATGCGGGCGATGCCACTGAGACCTTCGCTGGAGCCCCCTTTATGGGGCCACGAAACGCTGTACTGAGTGGGTAAAACGCAGGGAGGAGGGGGAGGAGGGCCACGAAACGCTGTACTGGGTGGAGGGGACGCATGCGGACGGTAGACCTGGAACCTTCGGTGGAGCTCCCTATGGGGCCACGAAGCGCTGTACTGGGTGGGTGAAACGCAGGGAGCAAGGGCTGTACTGGGTGGTGGCTGACGCATGCGGGCGGTGCCACTGAGACCTTCGGTGGGGCTCCCTATGGGGCCACGAAGCGCTGTACTGGGTGGGTGATCGCAGGGAGCAAAGGCTGTGCTGGGTGGTGGCTGACGCACGCGGGCGGTGCCACTGGGACCTTCGGTGGAGCTCCCTATGGGGCCACGAAACGCTTTACTGGGTGGGTGAAGCGCAGGGAGCAAGGGCTGTGCTGGGCGGTGGCTGGCGCACGCGGGCGGTGCCAGTGGGACCTTCGGTGGAGCTCCCTATGGGGCCACGAAGCGTTGTACTGGATTGTACTGGGTGGGGGGGGGGCATGCGGACGGTAGACCTGGAACCTTCGGTGGAGCTCTCTATAGGGCCACGAAGCGCTGTACTGGGTGGGCGAACGCAGGGAGGACGGGGAGGAGGGCCACGAAACGCTGTACTGGGTGGGGGCGGCGCATGCGGACGGTAGACTTGGAACCTTCGGTGGAGCTCCCTATGGGGCCACGAAGCGCTGTATTGGGTGGGTGAAACGCAAGGAGGAGGGGTAGGAGGGCCACGAAACGCTGTACTGGGTGGGGGGACGCATGCGGACGGTAGACCTGGAACATTCGGTGGAGCTCCCTATGGGGCCACGAAACGCTGTACTGGGTGGGTGAAACGCAAGGAGGAGGGGGAGGAGGGCCACGAAACGCTGTACTGGGTGGAGGGGACGCATGCGGACGGTAGACCTGGAACCTTCGGTGGAGCTCCCTATGGGGCCACGAAACGCTGTACTGGGTGGGTGAAACGCAGGGAGGAGGGGGAGGAGGGCCACGAAACGCTGTACTGGGTGGAGGGGACGCATGCGGACGGTAGACCTGGAACCTTCGGTGGAGCTCCCTATGGGGCCACGAAGCGCTGTACTGGGTGGGTGAAACGCAAGGAGGGGGAGGAGGGCCACGAAACGTTGTACTGGGTGGAGGGGACGCCTGCGGACGGTAGACCTGGAACCTTCGGTGGAGCTCCCTATGGGGCCACGAAACACTGTACTGGGTGGGTAAAACGCAGGGAAGAGGCGGAGGAGGGCCACGAAACGCTGTACTGGGTGGAGGGGACGCATGCGGACGGTAGACCTGGAACCTTCGGTGGAGCTCCCAATGGGGCTTCGAAGCGCTGTGCTGGGTGGGTGAAGCGCAGGGAAGAGGGGGAGGAGGGAGGAGGAGGGGGAGGAGGAGGAGGAGGAGAGGAGGAGGAGAGGAGGAGGAGAAGGAGGAGGAACGCGGGGACTTTCTCTTCAAAACGAGGACCCAACACCACAGGATGGTTGGGAAATAATCCCCGTGCTCGGGCGAACCGCGGGGTGGCGCCCGCCAGATTGAAAATCAACGGGGCGGCGCCGGTGATTAGCGCCGACGCCCGGCTGCCAACGAGAAGGCGACAGACAGCACAAACTTGGGGAGGGGGTGTCGGGAGGCCAGGGCGAGCCAGGGCGCTCTCTTTCTGTCGAACCGATGCGGGCCTGCGGGCAAAGCGGGCTGGACGAAACTAAGGCGCGGCAAAACGGGGCATTTGCCACGCAGCTCACGTCGCTGATTTTCCAAGCGCCTCC